GTTCAACTGTTAAGGCGGTATCGGTCCTTATTTCCTGATAGCTTACCGGATGGGTTACCTCCCAAGAGACTCAACCGCACATTAGAACAGATGCTTAGAACTTATGTTCAGACTGATGAGAGCGAGTGGGAACGATTGTTGCCGGCATTGGAACTTGCTTACAATACAACCTCCCATTCTTCGACGGAGCTCAGCCCTTTTGAGGTTATGATAGGGCAAAATCCAGTGACTGCCGCGGATATAGATATTGTTGGTGATCTTGCGCCTACGATTACACCTCAAATGACGAAGGTATTTCAACAGTTATGTGACAGGGCGCAAGGTCATATAATGAGAGCTAAGTGGCAACAGAAGTATTATGCGGATGCCAGAAGACGGGGTGTCCAATATAAACCGGGCGACCGAATTTGGATTCATAGTCGCAATCTACCAGGGTTGAATCAATGTTCTAAACTGGAGCCAAGGTTCAGAGGGCCTTTCAAAATTCTGGAGCGTATTGGTCAGGTTGCGTATCGTATCGAATTGCCTCCAACGTATTCGTGTCATAATGTTTTTCATGTTTCGCAGCTCATCCCTGATCGGCCACGAGATCCTCTAATGCAATCTAAGGAAGCAGCAGTAGGGTGGCTTCCGCTAACGGACAAAGAGGGTAACTCCACTGACATATACGAAGTTGATTACATACTCAATCAACGTGGCTCGGGAAAGGACGTACAGTATCTGGTTAAGTGGAGAGGTGCTCCTGAAGACCGTGCTACTTGGGAACCAGCGTCTAACCTCACAAATTGTTCCGCCCTACTTAGGGCTTAGCGCCGTTATTATAATAAAGTAAGGTCGGCTCAGGAGAATCGCATGGCTTAGTTGGTTGCGCGTGTCTACTCTTTCGGTCTGTGCATTGGTAGTACGTCGGGTTTAAAAAGGGGGGGGACGAGTGGTGCATAATCGCACCACTTGATTACGTGCAGTTTAAGTTAGCTACAGGAGAAGGGGAGAGCGATAGGGTAGAGTAGGAAGGCGGATGAGTTAGCATATGTTATAAGCTGGGGAAGGGCGGCTTAGTACAGGACGGAGCTGGGGTACTGGAGCTAAGTAAATAGAGATAATAAGAGGGACTTAAATCTTTGTCCGAAGGGGGAAGTTGTAGTGCGCTAGCACTACAAGCAAGTGCTGTTACTATAGAAAACTAAATTAGCGGCAATAAGGACAGAGAGATAGAATAAGTACGACCTAAATTACAAATATAAGCTAATTTAGAATAGTGGGACGAATAGGGCAGACCAATTGCAAAAGTAGCAGTCTTATACAGAAAAGGAGGCGCCGGTGCAGCGTTGTCAGGGACGACCGTCCCCCGCGACTAGCGACCCGTTGAGGGATTGCTAGCGGAAGGTCATGGGCCCAAGGGGCAGGCAGATATTTTCTCAAGCGAAAACCCTTGAAACTACTCCAATAACCGAAAATTTGACTAATCAATCGCAGTACTGTTGAAAACGTTATGTATTTCTCAGTTTCGTAGGGGAACACGGTTGTTAGTTCACCCAGAGGTCATTACACCAGAGGACTAGCGTTACACTTGGTAGCACCGCATCGTTCGTCGGGGCAAGGTGCGAGCCCGGGTCCCACCCCCACACGGGTGACATCAAGCATAGCTGAAAAACAAACGACTAAGAAGAAAATATACACCCCAGTGTGCAGAGGCACCGAAGAGAATAATGGAGGCACTCACGCACTCCGTCGTGATGGTCTGGTAAAGACCGCAGTTTTGGGGGAATCGATCAAGTTGACACCCGAAGAACGGCAGAAGTGGGCAAAATTGAAGGAAGAGTTCTCAGATGTACTCAATAACAAAGAGCTACCGGCGGGCAGCCCACCCGCTGGACGCTCTATGCACCGCATCGAACTCATCCCTGGCTAAGCCCCAAGCTTTGTTCCACGGTACAGACGACCCCCGTACCTGGACGAGGGCATTGAGCGGCAGGCAGACGAACTTCTGAAAAAGGGCACGGTTCAGCCGTCAACTAGCGCCTTTCGGCACAATCCCGTGCTGGCGAAGAAAAGGGATGGCAAATGGCGCATGTGCGTCGACTTCAAGCCCCTCAACAAGATCACAGTGAAGCAGAAGTTCCCGATGCCCAGAGTGGACGAAATCCTTGACCGCTTACAGGGTTCGGCAGTATACTCAGCATTTGACTTCGATGAGACCTTCTTGCAGATCCGTATTCACCCTGAGGACAGGCACAACACGGCGTTCCACACCCGCACTCGCAAGCTGGAGTACACTTGTATGCCCTTTGGCCTCGTGAATGCACCTGCCGAACTGCAGCGGCAAATCAATCACGACTTCCTGGAGCCAATTGCCGAGGGGTGGATGGTGATATACATGGATGATGTGCTTGTGTTCAGCCGCAATGTGCAGGAGCACCTGCAGCACCTCCGGCGGGCGCTGCAGCTCCTACGTGAGAAGCAGTGGTTCGTGAAAGCGCAGAAGTGTTCGTTTTTCATGCAAACAATCAATTTCTTAGGCTTTCGTGTTTCTGCAGCAGGAGTCCAACCAGATCCGACTAAGATCGAGGCGATTCAGCGGTGGCCGCTACCGCTGTACACGCGGACGGACGTTCAGAAGTTCCTCGGGCTCGCCTCATACTATCGCAATTTCATTCCTGGGTTCGCTCGCATTGCTT